ACAAAATTCATTTCTGATATTAAGAACAAAATTTCTGGGATGCCTGGGTGGCTCAGTTGGTTAAGTGGCTGCCTTTGGCTCAGGTCATGATTCCAGGGTCCTGAGATCGAGCCCCGCATTGGGCTTCCTGCTCAGCAGAGAGTCTGCTTCTCTTTCTCCCTCTGCCTGCCGCTCTGCTTACTTGTGCTCTCTATCTTTCTGTCAAATAAATCAATAAAATCTTAAAAAAAAAAAGAACAAAATTTCTGCTTCCTTTTTTCTTTTTTTTTTTTTTAAGATTTTATTGTTTTATTTGACAGGGAGATCACAAGTAGACAGAGAGGTAGGCGGAGGGAGAGGGAGAAGCAGGCTCCCCGCTGAGCGGAGAGCCCAATGTGGGGCTCAACCCCGAGACCACAACCTAAGCTGAAGGCAGAGGCTTAACCCATTGAGCCCCCCAGGTGCCCCTGCTTCCTTTTATTTGCATTTACCTACTGTACTTTTGCCCATTTTTGCTTTTAGCTTTTTGAAATTTACCTTGTTTTGGGTGTGTCTCTGAATAGGTCTTGATTTGGGTTTGGGTATGTGATATAATCTGAAGGGTTTGTTTTAATTAGTAAAGTTAGCCCATTTTTATCTATTTGATATGCAGACATATTTGATCTTAGTACATTTTATGGGTAGCTTTTGATTTAAGGCCTAGTGAAAAGTCCTGTTTGTCCTCTCATTCTCTCTCTCCCTCTCCCTCCCGGTGTGTTTCTGGCTTGTGGCCCCCCCACTGTGAGCAGTGATGAAATTAGGATAGTTCCTCTTCCTTCTCCTCCCTTCTCTCACAACACAACAATGTGAGTGTACTCGGTACTTAACTTTACAGTTAAAAATGGTTAAGATGGTACATTTTATGTTACTTTGCAACAATTAAGGAAAAGATTCCTGGTTTTAAAAGAAAAACCTTCCTTGTGAATTATTCATTTTATCATTATATTTTACTCTGTTTAGTCCTGCTAATGCTTTTGGTCTTAGATTTTTATTTTGTCTGCGATTAACATAAGTACACCAGCTTTTTATAATTAAGATTGCTTGGTATATCTTTTTATTTCTGTTTTCTTTCGGGTTTCTATGCCCTTACTTTTGTCACTTGTCTCATAAATGGCATATAGCTGGATCTTGTGTGGGTGGATTCTTCATTCAGTTTGAGACTCTGTCTTTTGAACTGGGGAATTTAATCCCATTTACATTTACTTCTATTATTGATACATTGGGATTTATTTCTATTTTGTGCATCCTGTTTACTGTGCCGCTTCTTTCCTGCTCTTCATCGCACCACCGTTTCTTTTTAGCTTCTTTATTCCCTTTATTTCCTTTTATATCTTCTATTCTGATATTGTTTACTCTTAAATTTTTAACATCTATCTTCCTGACTTAACAATCTAAATTTAATCAGCATCTCCCAAACAATACAGGGACCTTGGAATGGTTTAACACCCTCTCCTGCCTTATATGTGTGTTGTTATCCTCTGGTAATTTATTTCCACTTTATTTGTTTGTCTCTAAAAGCAGTCAGCATGGTGGTCATTACTGACAATTACTATTTTATACAGTCATTTCCTGTTTAGATTTACCCACATATTTAACGGTTCTCACTGTTGCTGCTTATATGTTGATCTTTCCTTCTGGATTCTGTTTTCTTCTTCCTGATCAAATTTCCTTGTTTCGTTTTCTTGTAGTAGTTCTCTCCATAAAGAATCATTACTATAAGTAAACCATCATTTTTTCCCTTAAATAATGGCTTGCTCATTGCTTTCTGGTTTCTCTTGTGTTGAAAGTTCTGCTATAAGTTTAATTATCATTTAAGATAATATCTACCCTATAATTCGTTGTACTATTTTTTTCCTTGTCTTTGGTGTTGTCCAAAGTCACTACCACAATCTAAATACAGATTTAGTTTTATTTGCTGTGCTGAAATCTGTGCTTTTTGCCTTCCATTAATTCCAGGGAAATTCCACATGATGTCTTCAAATATTCTCTCCCCTGTTCTTTTTAGTCTGTTCTCCAGAGACTGCTATTAGATGCATGTTTGGCATACTTATCACGTCCCTATGGGGATAACAGGGGCTATCTGTCCCCTGTTGCAGGACTTTGACTTCATATTTTTATCTTTTTGTGTCTCTGCAATGAATTTTAAATAATTTCTTCATCTCTTTTTATCTTCTGAGCTGTGCCTATTCTTATGTTTATGCCATTTAATTTTTTATTTCAATGACTTTTTTCATGTTTTTCTCTTTTTACTCACTGTACTTTTAAAAATCTTTTGTTTTCAGTTCCTGCTTTATAACTTTATTTCAAGCATATTTGTTTGTCTTCTTAAAGATTTTATTTATTTATTTGACAGAGAGAGATCACAAGTAGGCAGAGAGGCAGGCAGGGTGGGGGAGGAAGCAGGATCCCCACCAAACAGGGAGCCGGATGTGAGCCGAAGGCAGAGGCTTTAACCTACTGAACCACCCAGGCGTCCCTCAAGCATATTTATTTAATGGGTTTATTTCTACTATCCAAAGTTCCTGGAGGTGGTGACCTGCTGGTGTTTTTTTTTTTTTCTTTTTTTCTTTAGATCTTCTCATCTTCATTCATAAAGATTGATTGTTCCCATGTATGTTTATATTTTTGGATCCTAAGCTTATCTTTAGTACGGTTTTGTCTTTTGAATCCCAGCATGGGATGGATGGAGGGTGTGTCCCTCCAGAGTGGCTTTGCAGTTGGCTGTGCTGGGTGTTTTAGGAATATCACAAGCTTAGAGCTAATTTTGAATTAATATCTCAGCTTAGCAGTTCATGTAGGTAAGGGTAAAGTCAAACCCAAACCTGCCTGAGGACAGGCCCCTTTCCTCCAGCTGCCTCTGTAGCAGCACAGGTGCATTTACTGAGTAGTTTAGCCTCAGACTCACAGACGGAAAAAAAGGCTGTCATCTACTATGGTGTTTTCATGTCATTGAGAAGCCCAGCAGCCACAGCCTCTGTTACCCTTTCTACCATTTAGGGTGTGTATGACTGTCACCCATGAGAGCCTCGGGTATCCGTAGGTCCCTTTGATACAGAAAAGTCATAGCTCCTTTTTACCATCAGTTTCCTTTTCCAATAAAAATTAGGATTTTCATTTCCAAGCCTCTTTTGAGAAAGCAAGATTAATGCAATGAAAATCAGAACATCTAATTAACAAATTTAACCACAAACCAAAGAAATTTTGATGCCTCAGTTAAACCATTTATCATAGGTCAGCAGTGTTTCAAATGGTGGAGCTTCTACTGGTCTTTCAATTCCTTCAGACGCTCCTGTGAAGCCAGAAGCAGTGCTGTCGGTCCCGGCCCCACCCACTACAGTTTTCTTGTGGGAACCATGGTGCCAGATCCCCAACGCTTTTCTTTTTGTCTTGGTTTTGCCACAGAAGGAACAAGTATTTGGCATGCTGGCTTATTTCCGTCCTCACCAGTTTCCTGAGGGAGGCACCGTAGCAGAGCCCATGTTTACCGATGATTCTGACTTTCTTAGTACATTTAACCATGTCACCACAAACTAGGTCTGGGCCCAGGAGAGAGCTCCCACCAGTTTCGTTTTGTTTTTTAAATATGGAATGCTTCACGAATTTGCATGTCAGCCTTGTGCAGGAGTCATGCTAACCTTCCTGTATCATTCCAGTTTCATTATATGTTCTCTGCATAGAGCCCCCCGCCAGTTTTATTCTACTGTGCTTGTCACCCCAAACCAGATGCAGTCCCACACAACAAAGGAAGCACACACAGCACTACCCATTTATGTTAACTCGCAGGTTCCCAGTTCCCACAGAAACTACTGTGTGAAACCAAGGTCATCTAAGGCTGGCTTGCTTCAGTCCAGGCCTAGTGTTAACCCTTTACGTTCAGGCTGAAAAACAGCTTGGATTCTATGGGGTTCTCAGTTCTAACTTTCCACTCTGTCTTCTGCCCTGCCTGAATATTAGAATCCCTCCATTACCAAGACTGCCTGCTCCGAGCTTCCTTCACCAAGGGCAGGCTCAGTGTATCACCCTTTGTTTTTGGCCCTGGTAATTCCTCTTACTTCCTTGAGAAGTTCCTTTCAGCTCTCGGTTTGAAAAGATGTTTGCTCCACCTTATCAAGCATTTGCAGATATTTTTAACATTTCTAAGTATTAATAGAAGATTTTCAAGTTATCTAATCCAAAATATTATATTAGAAGAAAGTTTGAAACAACTCAAACAGTCTGAATTCAAATTCTGACACCCCTTTTCAGCCGTATAATCTTTGGCAAGATACTTGGCCTCTATGAACCTACTCCCAGCATGGTGTCAGGATATTAATACCCACCTCAGGGTGTTGTGGTGAGATTGAATTATTACCAAAGGTAAAGCTCAGAAGCCCTACCGTGGTTTCCAAATTTCTGACCCAGCCCCAGCCGAAGACTTCAATGTCTTCTCCCACTTTCCAGACATACTCCAGTATAATAAACTACTTGTTCATCCTAAATTCTTCTTTCTGCCTCCCAAGACTTCATACATTGTGTTCTTTTTTCTTGAACATTCTCCTCCCTTGTTCACCTTCTCCCTAACTCTTGTACTAACCCTTCATCCCTAACCTTAGATATCAGTTCCTCTGTCCCTGCTGATCTCCAAGTCTGGGGTAGGGCCTGTGAGAGCCCCACATTCTCCTATAACACTTAACATTTGCCATCACAGTTGTTTACTTGTCTGAACATACTTTAGGGGAAGGATTTTGGCTGTTTTGCTCACCATTATATCCCCAGCTCCTAATAAAGAGCCTGGCACCCAGCTCAATACATGGTAGTTATTATTTTTATCAGCACCTTCATCTGTCATAATTCTCAAATGTCTGATCGTTATATAAATAACTCTTAAGTATGCCAAGAAGCTTAGAGTTAAGTTACAAGACCGACAAGGGCATGCATTGTTTCAGAGCCACATTTTCGGCCTTTGTTTTTCACTTATTCAGTCATTTATCCTTTCATACTAGGAACTAACCCAGGAGTGTGATGAAAAGAAATCCCAGTATGATAGCTGTGCAGCAGGCCTCGAAAGCAATCGATCCAAATTAGAACAGGTAAGAAGATGGTTTTTATCTTAACAATTTAGCATAAACTGCCTGTGCATGAATGTTTTCATTACATCAACATCAAAAGTTTCCCAAATCTGGACCCTCATCCCTTGAGCCAGTCTCCTAAGCTCCAGAGATCTTTTATTTCTTCAGACTTGATATGTACATACTGAATTCTCTGTACCACACCCACCAAAATCCAGGCCCTCATCATTGCAGCTCCTGGATTCCCACAATAACCCAGACCTGCTCTCCCACCTCCACCCTCCCCTTCCTGAGGTTTTTTCCTCCATAGAGAGCCAAAGAAACTTCTAGAAAACTTAGGCCACCCTTCACTGTCTTCCCTTTGCACTTGAAATCTAACTTCCAAACTATGGTCTGCAAAGCCCACCTGCCTCTTAAACTTCATGTCCCTGTGCTCTGCTCCTCATCCACGGGGCCGCAGCCACGCTGGCCACTTTCTTGTACATCAAACAGGCCAAGCTTGTTTTCACCTCCTGGCTTTTGTTTGTGCTCTTCTCCCTCTGGGACACTCTGCTTCCAACTCTTTGCTTTGAATCTCTCCTTTTTATCATCAGGTAGCCTAAATGTTACTTCCTCCTAGAGGTCTTCTCTGATCACCCTCTCTGATGTTGCCCATTTGGTCACCCTGTCACTTTCTACTGCTGACTTTTCTTCATAGTATTTATACCCATCTGAAACTGTCTTCATTACCTGTTTCCTTGTTTATGTCTGTTTTCTCTATTTGAATGAGAGCAGGAATCTGTAGTCTCGTTCACTGCTGTGTCCCCAGCACCTAGCACAGAGTTGGGCACGCAGAAGGTACTTAATAAGTGAATAACTGAATCTGTAGGGTTTAGAGTGATATGAATAGTCTCTAGAAAAGATTGCAATCTAGTCTGTTATGGTAAACAAAGTTGTAATCACGAAGAAATTACACTGATGGTGTTTTGTTGTACATTTAAAGTTATCCTCTCTGTGTTTGATTATTATTCTTTCAATAATGTTGCCCATTTAAAATTATATATTGCAGGAAGTCAGGGGACTCCGTGAAGAATGTCTTCAAGAAGAAAGTAGATACCATTACACAAATTGTATGATTAAGGTAAAACAAAGAAGATGGACCAGAAACTTTCTGAGATCTTTCTGTATCAAGGACTTAACCAAAAACTTGGTCTTTCCACTTAGAACCTAGAAATACAGCTTCGTCGAGCTACCGATGAGATGAAGGCCTATGTCTCTTCTGATCAGCAAGAAAAAAGAAAGGCAATTAGGCAAGTAATTTTGTTGTTTCTATATTGAGTTACTTCATGTTTTCCCCTATAGAAGATTTTTTTACTAAATTTTTTATTTAAATTCCGGAATAGTTAATATACAGTGTTCATTTAGTTTCAGGTATACAATCCAGTGATTCAACAATTTTATACATTACTCAGTGCTCGTCATGATAGGTATACTCTTAATCCCCATTACCTATTTCACCCATCCCCCACGTGCTTCCCCTATGGTAACCGTCCGTGTGTTCTTTATAGTTAAGAGTCTGTTTCTTGGTTTGTCTCTCTCTCTCTCTATTTTTTTTCCCTTTGTTCATTTGTTTCTTAAATTCCACATATGAGTGAAATCAAATGATATTTGTCTTCCTCTGACTGGCTTATTTCACTTAGCGTTATACTCTCCACCTCCATCTATGTTGTTACAAATGGCAAGATTTCGTTGTTTTATGGCTGTCACCTTTAGAAGTTTTATAAACAAGATGGAGTTGCTAAACTACTAAGATTGCAAGTACTTAAATAAGCAGATACTAAGATATTGCTTAGGATTAAATCTTGTTAAACATCTTCCAGATAGTCCAGCCCTACTAACTAAGTAGAAATACACATAATTTTCTTGCTGGCTTGCTTACTTTTTTTTTTTTTAATCATGGCATAAAAACCCCATATAACATAAAATTTGCCATTTTTACCAGTTTTAAGTGTATAATTCAATTGCATTGATTACATTCACAATGTTGTGCAGCAATCACTAGTATATATAATACCAACCCTTTTTCCTCACTCCGATCAGAAACTCTTGTAATCATTAAACAGTAACTCCCCATTCTCCCCTCCCCAGAAATACATATAATTTCATGGTTCCTTTTTTATAAGCACTAAGATTGGTCTATTTTTAAAGTCCCACATGGCCTGGACTCTAGTCATCTGCCTGCTCATTGTGTCATGTGTGTGTGTTTCAGCTAGAAGCTGTGCGTTTGCAGTGTGCCAGCCTTCAAAACAAGGAAGGGTGTGTAAATACCACCAGTCCTTATATGGTGATTTTTTGGTAATCCAAGCTTACAGCATACAATAATAAATCAAATGGTGCCTGAAAAAAATGAATTTATGTTTGAATTGCTAGCTACGACAAAATGCAGTAATTGAATAAGATAAGCTTTCTTTGCCCCTTACCATAATTCAGATGTTTCACTTTTACCATCCAGTAAGAGCTCAAAACAAAGATTCACATTTATTCTAGATTGTACTTGATATTTTTAGTGGCATTTACATTAATGTTACAAAAAGGAAATCTCATAAATGGAATGTTGCAGAGTCTAATTTTTTAAGTATATAATGCACTGGAATGCAAGCCAGACTGAACATGTCCTATAAATAGAACAATTTTTCTTCTAATACTCTGATATATTAAACATATTAAATGTACTTATTCACATTCTTTCATTGAATGTAACCTTTGCTCAAATAAATCTGTATGGTCAGTGGTAATATTTTACAAATGTGAGAAATTACATTTATCCTTAAAAAAAAAGTTGTAGAAATTAATTTCCATTTCTTCCAAAGTTACAGTATAAGTAGTAAAGAAGGTAATATTGCCCCTGAACTATTGGTTTTCTGGCCAGATACTCTTCTTCATTATTTTAAAAATCATCATAAACCTTTACCATTACTTTGTTTTCCTATAGAAAAAATATTTTTCCCTGGCTAGAGTAATACCTAGGAATATTATGAATAAAATGGAGTTAATTGTACTCTAAATTCATTGATACGTATTTAAAATATTATTATTATTATAGACACAATATTTTTATTATTATCCCATTTTCTACTTTTATGATACTTTCGAGTAAGACCAATGGTATAAGGAATTAGCATGACTTTGAAAGATTGCAAATTTTTATTTAAAGAGGCAGGATGTTTTATTTTGAAGTACTAAAGAGGGACTCATAAAATTTCTTTCTAGCCTGTTTTCTCCAGTTCTGAGTTTTGTGACCTTGGGCAAATCATTTCTTCACCTATAAAATAAGGAAAACAATTTATACCACCGAAGATCAAGTTAAATATAATGCATGTAGCAGTGTTCTAGAAATTATATAGTATGAACTCCTAGAGGACAAGGACTCTGTCTTGTTTTCTTCCTGAAACCCCAGGGCATGCTTGGTACATAACAGGTGCTCCATAATTATTTCTTGAATGAATTCATCAAATAAATTTTAAAATTACACATTAGCGTTATATGGTAAAAGAACATGAGCCTTAAGATGTCTTGATTAAATACAGATGGAAATTCTAGGGCACCTGGGTAGCTCAGTGGGTTAAGCCTCTGCCTTCTGCTCAAGTCATGATCTCGAGGTCCTGAGATCGAGCCCCGCATCGGGCTCTCTGCTCAGGAGGGAGCCTGCTTTCCCCCACCCTTTCTGCCTGCCTTTCTGCCTACTTGTGATCTGTCTGTCAAATAAATAAAAATCTTTTTAAAAAATCCAATAAATATAGATGGAAATTCTAAAACAGTTTGGACATTTTGCAGTTCTAGGGTAATAAATGAATTATTTAAAGCTATCCAAACTTGGGGTGTCTGGGTTGCTCAGCGAGTTAAGCTGCTGACTCTTGATTTTGGCTCAGGTCATGATCTCAGGGTTGTGAGATCAAGCCCCAGGAGCCTGCTTAAGAGTCTCTCTCTTCCCCACCCCCGCTCCAATACATACATACCTACATCTATCTGAACTTATTTTTTTTTTTAAAGAATATATCATTTATATTCTCCTAGCTATTTTTCACTGAAGAGCTAGAAAGTTAAACAGGTTGACTTAGTGTCTCATAAATTTTAAAGTCAAAATAAAGTTTCATCAAGATTGTGTTTATTCTCTTCTACCCTCATTTCCATGTCCAAATTCTGCCTTCAATTCAGCTCTATAAGGACTTTGAGTATTTTTTTTTATATTTATTGGTTTATATGAGAGAGAGTGGGGGCAGGGAGAGGGGGAGAGGGAGAGAAAGTCTCAAGCAGACTCCACATGAGCACGGGGACCCTTGCAGTGCTGGATCCCAGGACCCCGAGGTAATGACTTCAGCCAAAATCAAGAGTCAGGGGCGTAATCAACTGAGCCACTCAGGCATCCCAAGGACTAGGAGTACTTTTGATTCCCACATCGCTCCAGTCTAGTCACATTTACCTCTCTTTTTGCATGAATTCTCAGCTGCTGGAATATCTTTGTGGTTTATGAGTTCTTAGATTTCCAGTTATGTGTTATTTTACTTCTTACTTACTACAATGTAGCTTTATACTGAAACACTGTCTTTTTCTATCTAGATTTGAGGTCTAAAGTCTTTTTTATCTTCTTTGTCATTGGTCCCTTTGTCCTCATGCTTCAACCTTTGTCCTTAACACTTTATATATCACTTTTTGTTTTGTGGAGTATTACAATGTAATTATACTTTTGGGGCACCTGGCTGGTTCAGTTGGTAGAGTGCAAGAGTCTTGATCTTGGAGTTACAGGTTTCAGCCCTACATTGTGTGTGGAGACTACTTAAAAAAATTTTTAAATCATAAAATATAATATATATGTATAATTATACTTTTGTTTAAAAACAGTGCAATGTTATTTGTTTTTTTAATTTTTATTTGAAAATTACAGGTTTTTTAGTTTATGAAAGAAATGCTTATAAACACAATAGTAACCATTATGAAGTATAGTACACAAAAACTGAATGTTGCCCACATTCCATGCCTCAGAAATGCCTATTGTTAATATTTTCATGTAGGAGCACCTGGGTGGTTCAGTCATTTGAGCATCCGACTCTTGATTTTGGCTCAGGTCATGATCTCAGGGTTGTGAGATCAAGCCCCACGCAGGGCTTCATGCTCAGCAGAGAGTCTGCTCGTCCCTCTCTGTCTGCTCCTACCCCCACATGCACTCTGTATCTCTCTCAAGTAAATAAAATATTTTTTAAAATAAAAATATTTTGGTGTATAATTACTCCATATTCTTTTCCCATGCATTTGCATGTGTGTGTGTTAACAAGTGCATGGGAAAATTTTATGTGTGTATGCATACAAAAATCAGGTTAAACTACATATACAGTTTTTCTCTTAATTATATGTCTAAAATTCTATTTCAGGGCACCTGGGTGGCTCAGTGGGTTAAAGTCTCTGCCTTCGGCTTGGGCCCTGATCCCAGGGTCCTGGGATCGAGCCCCGAGTCAGGCTTTCTGCTCAGCAGGGAACCTGCTTCCTCCTCTCTCTCTTCCTGCCTCTCTGCCTACTTGTGATCTATCTGTCAAATAAATAAATAAAAATCTTTAAAAATTTTTTTTAAAAATTCTATTTCAGTATTTATAGATCTACTCCCTCCTTTTTATAACTCTGTATTATTCCTTTGAATGGATGTGCCATAATTTATTTAAATATTTCCCCATCTATTGACATCTAACTTTGTTTGCAGATCTTCACCATTAAAAGCAACAGTGAAGTAAATAGTCTTTATGTTTATCTAAAGTTCTGAGAGTTTTTCTTTAGGATGACTGCCTAGAAGTAACATTGCAGGATTATATGTTATTTAATGTTTATTTAAAATGTTTCTCCTTTCTCCTTTCTACAAACCTCTCCAAAAACAAAGTGTGACTAGGGTGCCTGGCTGGCATACTCAGAAAAGCATGCAACTCTTTATCTCTGAGTTGTGAGTTTGAGCCCCACATTGGGTGATGAGATTACCTAAATAAATTAAAACTTTAAAAAATAATTAAAAAAAAAATAAAATGTGGCTTAAGCAAGAATATGTTACCATTGTTTTAAGTATAAATTAACCAGAAATAGTACTTGATATTTTAGTTCTCTTAATTTCTTATGCAGTGGTTTGTGGGTTTTTCCCCATAAATTACTATTTACTAGAAGAACTGACTAAAGATGGGGAAAGAGAGTGTAATGATTTTCATTCTGATTCCAGTACTCTAACCTATCTATATTGTCTAATACATTTAGATTGATAAGTTAATTTATAATTTAGTTGTATGATCAAATCAACTGAGGTAAATTGAAACTAAATCATTATGTTTATCCCCTAGGGAGCAGTATACAAAAAATATTGCTGAACAGGAAAACCTTGGAAAGGTAAGAATGTATTATTTATTTTTTTAATTGTGTCTAATTCAAGCTTTCAGTGTGTGGTTTTGACATTGTCATTCTTTTTAAAGGGTTATAGTACAGTTTTCAAAGGGAAATTGGATCTTAATCTCTTGCAAAGATGAAGACTCTTCTTTAGAAATTTATGTGTGTGTGCATATAAAAGTGAAGGGACGTGGATTTTTGAAGAAAAATCTAGTTTTGTTTAGGGAGGAGTTTATGAGAAGTTTCTGAATAAGAAACAAAACTGCCACATTTAATGAACTACAAGTTTTCAGATAATTCTCAGGTATCTCTTTATTAGATAAGTATAAGTTCATTTATTTAATAAACACAAAGCTCATTACTATTAACTGGACACTGTTCCATGACCTTTACAAGCATTGATTCATCAAAAAACCTTCCTTTTCATATTCAGCACCTTCCCTGCCAGTCTCACGAAAGCAGGCATATGCTTATGTGATTAATCTTATTTTCTCAGTTCTCTGAACCATTCCTAGTAGAAGAGGTGGTAGATAGTAAAGACCTTGAACATCAGGGCTTCAGTGACCCAATTCACTGATTATTTTAATTGGCTTCATAAAGCAACGCATTTGGACAGTCATTTTAAAGACACCAGTTCTGTCATTGGTTTTGTTTTTTTTTTTAAAGATCTGAATTTATCAACAACTCAGGGCCAGTGTCCTTATTTACATTTTCTTTTTTTTTTTTAATGTTTCTTGAGGGGCACCTGGGTGGCTCAGTGGGTTAAAGCCTCTGCCTTCGGCTCGGGTCATGATCCCAGGATCCTGGGATCGAGCTCCGCATCAGGCGCTCTGCTCAGCAGGGAGCCTGTTTCCTCCTCTCTCTCTCTCTGCCTGCATCTCTGCCTACTTGTGATCTCTGTCTGTCAAATAAATAAATAAAATCTTTTAAAAAAAAATGTTTTTTGAGAGAGAGTGCAAATGGGGGGGGAGGGGCAGAGGGAGAGGGAGAGAGAGAGAGAATTTTAAGCATGCTCCACATTCAGCATGGAGCCCAATGTGGGGCTGAAGCTCATAACCCTGAGATCACGACTTGAGCTGAAATCAACAGCTGGGTGCCCAACCAACCACGCAAACACTCCTCCCTTTTTTTTTTTTAAGTTTTATTTTTTTGTGGGGGAGGCACAGCGAGAGAGGGAGAAAGAATCTTAAAACAGACTCTATGCTGAGTACAGAGCCTGATGTGGGGCTCAATCACATGACCCTGAGATCACAGCCTGAGCAAAACTAAGAGTCAGTTGCTCAACCAACTGTGCCACCCAAGAGCCCCTTTATTTACATTTTCTAATTTGAATTATTATTAAAAACATACATGTATGTATGTATGCTTTTACATACGTGCTGTAATAGCTCCCATAAACCTGTAAGTAATATTCTAAAGTTAAACTTCAGGGAAAAAATGGTATGGAAAACAATGGCATGACTTTTTTTTTCAAAGATTTTATTTACTTTTTTGGGAGAGAGATCGAGAGGGAGAAGCAGACTCCCTGCTGAGCAGGTGCCCAACAATGGCATCATTATTAAGCACACTTTCATAAAGTGTTTGAAAAAGACTCTTAAAAACTAAATAATGTATAAAGACATTTAGTATAGAAAATTTCAAGCTTATATAAGTAAATAATGTAATGAATTCATGTGTAACCATCACCCAACTTCAGTAATTACACTCATGACCAGTCAGTTAAGTATCTGCCTTCAGGTCAGGTCATGATCCCAGGGTACTGGGATCAAGCCCCACATTGGGTTCCCTGCTCAGCAGAGAGCCTACTCCTCCCCCCTCCCGCCACCCTTCCCCTTCCTTGTGCTCTCTCTCCCTCACTCTCTCTCAAATAACTAAGTAAGTAAGTCAATAAATAAATAAATAAGTAAAATTAAGAAAGAAAGAAAGAAAGAAAGAAAGAAAGAAAGAAAGAAAGAAAGAAAGAAAGAAAACCTTAAAGCTGATTTCCTCCATTCTAGTAGAGAAATTGTATGTTCTGTGCACCCTCTTCCCTTTATGGGATGACATGCCATACTCGAAAAAAAGAACTGAGTTCATGCTTGAAAACACATATTTGAATCAAGTTGTAAACATTCATAGAGATTTTTGGGTTTTAGGATTTAGTATGATTGTCAATAATTTGCTTTCCTCTAAACATTTCATATGTTAGGTAATGTATTTTTTCATATGAAAACATTTCTCTATTTTATTTTGAAAAGTATGTGGATGGATGCTTTGTGTAGAGAAATATTTATCAAATCTGAATCCTTTTAAAGACCCAAATGTAGTTGCTAAATCTAAATAAAGATTATTCTTTCACCTTCCAGGGTGGTGTTCTATTGCAGGGTCTTTGCAAAAAGGTAACAGCACTCTGACAAGTATATTTCAGCAAAAGGAGACATTGATCAGCTCATCCCCCAATCGTCAGTCTGTATCATTTAAGAAACAAAGTTCCTCAATCCTCTCATTCCTAGAGTAGATCTAATTTTTTTTCTTTCCAAATGCTCTTTCATTTTTTTTTTCATTTTTTAAAATTAAAATCAATTAACATATAGTATATTATTGGTTTCAGAGGTGGAGGTCAGTGATTCATCAGTCTTATATAACACTCAGTGCTGATTACATCATGTGCCCTCCTTAATGTTCAACACCCAATTACCCCATCCCCCTACCTCTCCCTTCCAGCAACCCTCAGTTTGTTTCCCATGATTATGAGTCTCTTGGCCGGGGAGGGGGTGGGGGGGGAGTGGGGGGGTGGGGGCGGGAAGTCTCTTATGGTTTTGTCTCCCTCTCTGGTTTCATATTTTATTTTTTCCTCTCTTCCCCTATGATCCGCTGTTTTATTTAATTCCACATACCAGTGAGATAGAGTAGATCTAAATTTTTAAGGAAAACACCAAACCTAGCCTTTAAAAGTGATGATGGCCTAAGTCTTCCAAACCAGCATAGACTGGACATCCATAGACCTCCTCAGGCCAACCTGCTTTCTGGAATTAAACCAGCCTATAGTGCTGCAGTTCACACTACCATACACTAGAATTTGCTTTCCTAAGTACTGTGGAGTACTGTGCTGAAGGTTACAACTCTCTTCACCCCCACTATATCACATCCCCTTAAAAGAACCCTGAAATCTGTGACAAGTATTCTTCTACACTGTAACTATCAACAAAATAAATCTGTATCAAGTCACAGTTAAAATTAAAATTAAATTAATTAAAAATTAATTAATAAATTAAAAACTTTTAAAATTAAAAATAAATTATATACTAAGGCGGTTGTATACAAAAAGTTAAAGGTTTCAAACACACACAGTTATGAAGCACATTAAATTCAATATTGCTGACACAGTGCCCACATGCAGTCTTCAGTTTCTTTAAATAACTTATAGGTTGTTGGGATTTTTGACAAGGAAATTATTCCAGTAGTATAAGAAAATTTATAGCTAATTAGTACCTTAATCTTAAAATCATTCTAAGAACTCTTAAAATTCTGGATCTGTATTACTACTTTTGTTTTAGTTCATGAAGATAAAAATGTTTTAAGATAATTTATTTTTAAGGTTTTTTTTTTTTAAGATTTCGCTTATTTGACAGAGAGAGACACAGCAAGAGAGGGAGCACAAGCAGTGAAAAAAGGGAGAGCAAGAGGGAGAAGCACGCTTCTCCCAGAACCCTGGGATCATGACCTGAGCTGAAGGCAGACGCTTAACCAACTGAGCCACCCAGGCGTCCCTGTTTTTAAGTTTGTGTTTAAATTCCAGTTAGTTAACATACGGTGTAATATTAGTTTCAGGTGGACAGTAGTGATTCAACACTTCCATACAACACCCATGCTCTTCACAAGTGCCCTCCTTACTCTGCATCAACTATTTGGCCCATCGTCCCACCCCCCTCCCTTCTGGTAACCACCAGTTTGTTCTCTACAGTTCAGAGTCTGTTTCTTGGTTTGCCTTTCTTACTCTTTTTTTTTTTTTTTTTCTTGTAACACAGACTTAAATAGATGTATTTGCATTCAGGTATTGTGTCAAAACTTTGCTAGTTACATTTAAATTCTATTTTCTTTTTGTTTAATATTTTATTTGTTTTTGAGAGAAAGAAAGCCTGGGCGCAAGCACAAGCAAGGGGAAGGGGCAGAAGCAGAATCCCTGATAAGCAGGGAGCCCCTACATGGGGGCTCAATCAGTAGGACCCTGGGATCATGACCTGGGCTGAAGGCAAGCACTTAACTGACTGAGCCACGCAGTCACCCCTAAATTCTATATTTTTTAAAGATTTTATTTATTTGACAGAGATCACAAGTAGGCAGAGAGGCAGGCAGAGACGGGGTTGGGGTGGGGAAGCAGGCTCCCCGCTGAGCAGAGAGCCCGATGCAGGACTCCATCCCAGGACCCTGAGATCATGACCTAAGCGGAAGGCAGAGGCTTAACCAACTGAGCCACCCAGGCACCCGTATTTTCTTAATTCTGCATTGTTTCCTGTTGCTGTTTGCTGTTAACTTTGCCTTCATTAGCCATGGCTGAGGAGGGCAGTTTTGAATCCGGTCCTAAGCTTAGTTTAGCCTCTTATTTGGGCAAGTACCAAGGACGAGCCTTCTCATCTGTGTCCTTAGGTCAACTATTAGATGAACCGTATACAATAGAGGAAAGGATGGGGACATTTCTGTGTGACCTGCTTCCGTGTCTTTGCTTATTTTTCTGTCCTTGGTGATTTCTCACACTCAGTGTTACTGTGTACATTTCTGTCACACTGTGTTTCCTGATGTGTGTACTCTCATCATCTTTGTTTTCCCCTGACTACCCGCCTGCCTTCCTTTCCCTCTTTCTTCCTTCCTCTCATTATCTCTGACTTTCTGCTATGCCTCTTTTCAGTCACCCTTTCTGAATTTGCCCTAATACAGGACCAAAGTATATTTTTATAATTCAATGAGACATTTTCTTATTCCTGTTTATAATTTTAGAGTCTGTGAGTAGAACAGTTTTGACAGATGGAATCACGTAGGCTATTAGTAACAAAAGTAATTCTGGGGGCACCTGGCTGACTTGGTTGGTAGAGCATGAGACTCTGAATCTCAGAGTTGTGAGTTCAAGCCCCACGCTGGGCATGGAGCCTACTTAAAAATAAATAAAAATAAAAACAACTCTGATAAGGATATGGCTTATTTAATAGTGTACTTTTTTAAAAATCACAAAACCACCTTCCTGAAGAATATATGCATACAATTTTATTTATTTGGGTCCACATAGTGCACACAAAGATTCAGGAAAGAATATGCTATTTAATAATAATAACAATGTATAACATATGGTAGTTTATCAAGTATTTCCAGATCTATTATGTCATGTGAAAAAATAACCTATGGGGCCCCTGGGTGGCTCAGTTGGTTAAGCAACTGCCTTCAGCTCAGGTTATGATCCCCAGGTCCTGGGATGGAGCCCTGAGTCAGGTGCCCTACTCAGCAGGGAGTCTGCTTCTCCTTCTGCCTTACCCTCCTGCTCATGCTTTCTCTCACTCTCTTGCTCATGTTCTCTCTCTCAAATAAATAAATAAAATCTTTAAAAATAATTACAATAATCTTATAAGGCAGATAATTTTATATAATTATCCCCTTTTATTACCCTTAATTGACAATTGAGAGAAGTGAGGTCCAGAGAAATTGTCTTACAGCTCGTGACAAAGCCAAGTTTGAAACAAAAGTCTTCTGACTGCAAAATCTGCATTCTTTTTCCCATACCATGATACTGTTCCATTTTCCTGATTCCCTTTATTTTCCCCTCCCGTTCTTTTATATTTTTCTATTCTTTTTAACTTCAAGCTTCCTGCATCTTTCATCAGTTTAACTTTTATCATCTTAGCTTTCATACATCTCAGAAGAACTGGTTTAGTTCACTGTTACTCATTAGATGTACAAAAAGCAGACCATGTTCTTCTGATGATAGCAATAGAAGTAAATCCCTGCAACTGAGATTTAATCATTCTTGATTTTTTTTTTTTATGGTAGAAACTCCGAGAAAAACAAAAAGCTGTACGAGAAAGTCATGGTCCAAATATGAAACAAGCGAAAATGTGGCGTGATTTTGAACAGTTGATGGAATGTAAGAAACAGTGCTTTCTGAAACAACAAAGCCAAACTCCCATGGGTCAGGTAATTCAGGAGGGCGGGGAAGACCGGCTGGTGCTCTGAATCTGTGTGCCATCATGTGGGGTTTTAGTTGATACTACTAGATATAAGCATAATCCCGTAATTTATTTCTTTTCTGGAAAGTGATTTGTACAACATTCTGGTTTCAGATTAACCATTCCTATTCAGTTGCCTTGGAAGGTAATGTTAAGGTAGATTTAGGTTTTAAAGTTTTTTAATATAAAAAATGGCTTTTATTGTTTCGCTTAGTTTAGAGATTAGCAGTATCTTAGGAGTTTTATGAGACAGGAGACTAAATTTACTCTCTGTAAATGTAAACATATGTCCATTAAGAAGCATGTAGTTTTTTAAAAATGTAATAACCCGATGGCTTAATGTTCTTAATCTTTTTTTTAACTTTAGAGGAATCTTTTAGGAACTAATATCTCTTGTTTTGAAGAAACATTTATCTGAAGTTCAGCAATTCCTACAGTTTCAATTCAGTTTCTCTTTCTTCTGTAAAATTCAAGAAAATTTGCTATTTTGAATAACATATTTGTTCTGTCTGAATTATTTAAAGGCAAATAAAACTTGATGTACGTATGTATGATGACTATTTATTTTTGAATTATTTGGTTTGTCAAACTGTTTTTTTTAACTATTCATGTTATAATATTGTATTAAATTTGAGGATTATCACTTATTTTCACCCAAAACCTAATATAGTATTTAGATCTTGAGGACTTTTATTTTAAATATAAAAAGTAGTCATAGAATATAGAAATTATCATGTGGTAAAAAGCTACAGTAGGATTCCAAGTGAAATTCAAGCATCCAAAGTGCTTCTGATTTCTGCTTCATTTGGACAGGGTACTTGAAGATTTCTTTTATTATTCCTTAAAGAAAGATACTAAATTCATATGCTACCTTGTACTTCATTTCAGTTTCATTATACTTTTTAAAATGTCTTCCTTTAAGGGTGTCTAGATGGTGCAGTTGATTAAGTATCTGACTCTTGGTTTCAGCTCAGGTCATGATCTCAGGGTCCTGAGATCAAGCCCCGCATCAGGCTCCACGCTCAGCACAGTCCTCTTGGAACTTCCTCTCTGTACACTCCTCTACCCTGTCCTTGCTTTCTCTTTCTCTCTCTCTCTAAAATTTAAAAGAAAAAAAAATTCTTTAAAAAAATGTCTTCTCTTTAGATTTAAAAAACTCAGATTTCAAATCATTAGCATGTCCACCTTGGGTTAGTAATTCTCGGTAGCTATCCTGAGGATGGCAGTGAGAGGCAAAGAACATTTCAGTGAAGAAAGTTGTTTCTACCCCATGCAAAACATGCGAACTTGATTATGACTTTGGATCTTTTTGTTTCCAAGTGTGTTCTACTCTTACTTTTTGTTTGAAAGCTTCTTCCTTGGTAATTGGATAAACTTACCAACAGGGAGAGTATTGGTAACTCTAGAAGCTATGGCAAGAAAAGATTAGCTCCATCAGAGCAAAGAAGAACTTACCAAGAAAGTGTGGAAAGAAACTTTCTTTTAATAAATTTCAAGAAAAAAAGAAGACTTTTAATATTATTATTATTATGTGGTTTCAGTCTGGTTCTTAGCTTACTTAGCCTCTTATTTGGGCAAGTATCAGCTACCAGAATTCTTATTTGTGCCTTTAGATCAACAACTAGATCCACCAGATATTAAACGAGGGAAGGCTGTGTTTCAGTGTGGAAACAAACCTTTCTTAATTCAATAAATCAGTTTTTGAACACTGAGGTAGTTGTATTTGTTCAGTGTTGGCTACTGGCTTGTTATTTTTAAGCCAGTGGCAAGTGATGTTCCTTTAACCAGAATATGAATTCCTTTGCAAGTATTTGAAAAAGACTAGAAGTCCCTCACAGAAATGAAACAGCATTTTATTCCCGTAGGGAAAGTCAGCTTCTAAGATTATTAAGCTTGGTGATTAATTTTTTTAGCCTTCACTATTCTTGCTGCTCTTCTCTTAATTTTAAAAATCATTAATGACAGATACTCCAAGGAATGCTTATAATTCTGATTTGATTATTGCTTGCCATCTTTATTCCACACAGAAGGAATATGTGGATTAAACACTAGGCAGCTCCAAAATTACTTTATTAACTGAAGCAGAACATCATTATTACTTCAAGAAAAGCAAATTGAAAAAAAAAACCTGAAAGTACAAAGTTATTTATAGTTTTTATGTAACATTGGACATTTAGTAATGCATCTTAATGGGTTTTATACAGTGACTCTCCACTCATTTTGTGATTTGATTGGAACATTAAAAAGCTCTGACTAACTCTGACAGTTTTTGACAGCTGGCAATTACAGAAGAGCTTATTGCATTTTTCCTTCAGGATTGATACTCTAGCTGGCTAATTGATGAGAGTACTTAATCATTTTGAAAAATAATCTGTCTTCCACATGATGGCCCAAATAAAGAAGAAGAATGTAGCCTGTGAAATCTGCTTTTGGGTTCATGGATTTTCTCCTCCTAGGACTCGTGTTGCCAACTGTTGCATGGGACTGACTATATAAACTGTAAATTTCAAAAGGCCACTGCTTATCTTGAGTTCTATATTAGTTCAGGAAATAATCCAACTTTAAAGGTTGTCCTTTAAGAACAATCTTATAATAGGATAATATCTTTTTAACATCTAAATCCAAGATCATGTATTTTTCCGGTCCAGAGAGTGTACCAGAAGGGTCTTAGAACATTGTTCAAAGGCTTGTGGAAATCAAACCAGATCTTGGAAATTACAAAACACTTAACTTTCTTCTTTAGATTAATACTTTCTATCATTTTGCTTTAGTTCAGTAGACAGCAATAGTAAAAGAAGCCATTTCGTTAAACTGTCAAATCCAAATGTATCATTCTGCCCTATTAGTTTATATAACATATATAAATTTTCTGGAAAATTTTTAGGTCTGTGCATATTCCAAGTATGATTATTTCTTAACTTTTTAGGCTAACATGATACAGAGCACCTTTTGGTAATTGGACTAAAAAGAAGAAACTGAATTTGTTGCTCAACTAAAAATACACATATGTGCTGAATGCTTCTGAATTGAATTTGAAAATATGCACAAAGGGATGACTTGCCAAAGCTGCCTTTACAAAGGCAAAATCCAGTTTGTATTGAAAAGTGACTTCCTATGGAGATGTGTGTCTTATAGAAATCTCTTTGTCATACACAGGCATATACCCTACAGTTAGTGACTAATGAGCATGAATCAAAGGCTTGTTTCTACAAATGGTTCTAGGCGCTTACATCATTCCTCTTGTTTGGCATGAAGGAGTGTTTAGCCCTAGGGAGTGGGTAAGTAAGCAGCCTGATTATTAACTTCCATTAAACCTGGTTATTTCAATAACTTATACATTGTAGTGAAAGTAAGATCTAGATTGTGTATACAAGGAATCCTTCATTTTTAAACAATCTGTGGCAGCCAGGAGATTTTTTTTTAAAGTTGCACTTTTATTAAATATGTAATTGTGTCTCTACCCAGAAGGAGCTGCTGGCTTAGCTCCTCCTCCCTTTCCTTTTAATGAGAACAGTTTAATTAGAGCTGTTTCGTGTATGGCAGCCAGGCATGAGGGGAGCATTTTATCCAGGAAGGATAGAGAGGTCATTCAGAGTTATCTGTATATTTTCAATCTTTGACTCTCCTGTCTTAAGACAATATAAAAAAGAGTAAGTTGGCTGTAACTGTCATTCATTCCCATCCCAGCCTTATAAAAGAAATAAAAACTGAAACACAGAATCCAAACAAGTATTTTTTAAAAGATTTTATTTATTTATTTGACAGAGATCACAAGTAGGCAGAGAGGCAGACAGAGAGAGAGGGGGAAGCAGGTTCCCCTCTGAGCAGAGAGCCCGATGTAGGGCTCCACCCCAGGACCCTGAGATCATGACCTGAACCGAAGGTAGAGGCTTTAACCCACTGAGCCACCCAGGTGCCCCCAAACAAGTATTTTTTCAAAAGATTTGGATGAACATATGCTTTCTGCTCCCATGCTCCCTCTCTTGGCAAACTGGAAGTACTTTCTCAGCAAACGTAATTTCACAATTTCCTCTCTAGAATTGCCGAGAGACTTGAGTCACCAAACTCGGTTTACTGCTATGGAAATTCACTATTCAGACAGAACACAGGAGGAAATTAAGGAATTATGTTTTTCAGTGACATATTAGTTCCCACCTCAGTTCAGAGGGTCCCAGCAGGGTCCTGGCAGGGCTGCTGCTCTCTGCCCTGCGCACGGTAACCTAGTAAAGAGCCGCGGCATTCTGGGGCTGGAAAGGAAGCTCAGAATAATTCGGGTAATCATTTATTAAATTGGGACCTTTGAGAGCTCTCTTTCATCCTCTCAACAGTGCAGAAATCAGCACTGCGCCGCTGGTAGCAAATCACTTTCCAGCCTCAGTGGAGTAACCGCAATGCGGCTCACTCCTCACGAGGGAGCCTGTCTCATTGTTAAAGAGCACCGCCTGATTAGTTTCTGGGTTCTAAAAATGAAGCAAACTTAAAGAGGGAGGACATTTTTTTTAGAAACAGCAGTTTGGCAAAGTGAGACTGAACCAATTTTACTCCCTGAAGCTTTGTAATCATAATCATTATTGAGCACTTAGAATGGACCAGATACTGTCCTAAGTGCTTCATGTGTCTGAACTAATGGAACTCTCGCAATAACCCCAGGAGGTAAATACTATTATCTCCATTGAGTAGATGAGGAAGCAGGCACAGACAGGCTTCCACGGTATTAATGCAGCTACTAACTGTGGGCAGAGCCAGGGCCTAAAGCCTGTGCTCTTCACTCCTGTGCTGTATGAACTACAGTGCGACCCATGTATCAGACTCAGGCTGATGTCCATTTAATGAACTATAATATGTGTGAAATTGGAGCTCTTTCTTATTTTTTTAAAGATTTTATTTATTTATTTGACAGAGACAGAGAGTGGGCACACGCAGGCAGAGGGAGAGAGAGAAGCAGGCTCCCCACCAAGCAAGGAGCCTGATGCAGGACTTGGTCCCAGGACCCCGGGATCATGACCTGAGCTGAAGGCAGCCGCCCAACCAACTGAGCCACCCAGGCGTCCCATAGAGTTCTTTTTTAAAAATGTGCTCACTTACTGTACCTAAGAGGAAAAAAACTTTAGTAAATGAGTAAAAATGAATTCTACCATCCAGATATGGGAATTATGCTAAAAACGAGTGTCAAGAAAGAAGTAATACTTTAAGACATAGAACAAATGGAAGCTGTATCAGTTATAATTTAAATCTTTCTGTAATAGCGTTAAAATCGTATATGTCTTTTGTTGCTGGACATATACATAGATTCCAGTTTTTTTTTGATTTTGTGAACAATGCTGCAATGGAACTTAAAAACTGAAATACAATACAATACTTGAAATTTGAAATACAGTATTAAGCAAACCACTAAGTGTATTTAATTTGGTCAAATCCAGAATCCATTGAATTGTTTTATAGACGCTTCTTGCCTTCCTCTATGAAAATGCCAAGGCTAAACCAAAGAAGTTAGCAAGATATTACTTGATTAATTGGAGAAGGAAATTGTAAATTCATTTATTTATT